ATGTGCACTGCTGATAACTTCCAAAATAGGATGAAACTGCTGTTCTGTGCTTTCTGCATGCTGTTGAGGATTCTTCTAGGTCCAATGAATTACTATAATGATTTGCATAAATTCCCCAAATTCTATTACTTATATGGCAATTTCTGTATGTTTGTCTGAATGAAGTTGCAACCTAAACATGTGAACAAATATTAATGAAAATTTGCATACATGTTAAACTAACATCCAGTTTGTTATTAGGCTAATTGTTTTTTTTTATATATAAAATCTATAATGGGACCACTAAGGCCCCTAGATCACAGCTTTCTGCTGGGATTTTCATGAAATACTGTTAACATGTTTATCACCGTGTTATAACAAAGGAGATAATTGGTTTTTGCAATTTTTTTAGAAATTAAGATACATGTGTTATGAAATAATAACTCTTATAAAGCTTAAAATTATATATATATATATATATATATATATATATATATTGATCTTTGTTCGATTTCAAAAACTTAGGGGACAACATCTGAACAAATCACAGGTTATTTTCTATATAAAATCTTTATTTAATACATTAATTCAGCATAATCTTTGTTTGAATGTGATCTCTGGTATGTTTAATTTGAAAAAAATATTATCAAATGCATTTTCTTTAAAAATAAATATAATTACACTTCTTAGGGTTTAATTACACTTCTGATTTGGAATTCAAATGAAGGCAGTGATTGCACATACCCTGAATCCATCATAAAACTTCAGGATGTGGACTTAATAAATACTAAACACTTCAAATAACTTGGGGTATGGATCATTTATAACAAACTTTCACCCAACACCACAAATACCTACTAAACCAAAACAATAACCTAAAAATTTGAGTCATGTTCTTAAATAACCTCATCAGATCAAGAATTTCATATGGTTATCATGAATGGTACCAAACCTGTTCAGAAATATCTAAACAGCTGTATGATTAAAAATGGCATTGAGTGAGTGAAGCCAATGGGTCTTGTTGAGGACTAGACTTCTTTAAACCTTGTGGACTGACCCAATAGAATCACAAAGAAAGAATAGTACCAAATAAGAAAAAACACTTCAAATTAAAAACTTTCAAAAGCTGGAATGGATAGCATATGTAACTTGTAGCAAAAACAATCACATGTCAACAATACTTCAAACAAAAGGTTAAGAAGAAAACCACCATTAATACTGGACTTGAGAAACTTTTTAAGAAAAAGATTTTATATATTTCAACTGACAGTAGTACCAGCTGGTTGGATAATGAATCCTAAATATTTCCTTATTAGGAAATAGCTAATATTATCATTAGTCTGTCTCCAGGTCTGAAATGTCTCCTTGCAACTTGTGCCTTGTTCCTAAAGCTAAAATCTCCATTCAAATGCAGTTGACAAGATTAAAGAGAAAGCTATGAGGCCTTTACAGATCATTTTGGAAATTGGAAAAATGCAGGGATAAGAGTGTGAGATTCCAAAGGAAGTACTTTGAAGAGAGCTAAGGTGCCATTGCTCTTGGGAGGATATTGTTTTTTCATTAATATTAAATGCCTGGATGCTTTCCAGGCAGACCTCATATGTATAATGAGTTGTTTTTTTGTTTTTTTTTGTGTGGGTGTGTGTGTGTGTGTATATATATATATTTTATAGGTGTATGTGTGTGTGTGTGGGTATATATATTTTATAGGTGTGTGTATATATATTTTATAGGTAAGTGTGTGTGTGTGTGTGTGTGTATATATTTTATATGTGTGTGTGTATATATATATATATTATATAGGTGTATATGTGTGTACGTATATATATTATATAGGTGTGTGTATGTATATAAATATATATATATAAATATATATATATATATATATATATATATATATATATATGAAGAAATATATTTTTTTTAAGCGTGCTATATTTATGGGATAAAGTGCTCAATATCAGAGATAGTGTATATAAATATAAAAGTAGACATTGATTTCAACACTCAGCGACAGTAAGTCTTTCATCCTAAACACAGTCACCTGTAATGGACTGACTATTGCATTTAGCATGAAACGGACTATCACCTCTGAGTGTTGGCTTCAATGTCTACCTTTATATTTATATAATAAATATATAGTGTGTTTATTTTGTATATATAAATAAATTATATAAATGTATATTATGTAATATGTGTGTGTATATTCATATACTTTTTTATCAGGTGGGCCTTTTTCATCACTTTGAGAACTTCTCAGCAGTCTGTGTAAAAAAAAAAAAAAACAGATATCTTGTTATAAATAGTTGCAAGATATATAACATGTATGTTTCTTTGTTTATGTTTTAAAATTTGTTATTTTCCTCAAATTTACAGGTATCTCAACTTGAAAATTCAGGAAGGCGATGCCCATCACATTACATGTCCTGGTTACAACTGTAGCCGGTTGGTGCCTGTGGATGTCATTGAAAGTGTTGTTTCCAGAGCAATGGCCAGGCGCTACCTGCAATTTGATATCAAGGTAAATCATACTTTATTTGATAAATTTCATATCATGCTTATTTCTAAAGTACTGCAAGATGTTTTTAACCTTACACACTACTTGTGTTGCTGCTAACTATGTAGGTTAACTAAAAATTTCTCATATAAGAACCCCCCCCCCCGGAACATTTGAAAAAATACCAAAATGTTCTCTCTGTGATACTGGAAATGACATTGTTATATTATTTTTGATAGTCAGAGCCAAAAGAGAAATAAAGACGGAAAAGGAATAGCAAGAAATTATAAGGAAACTAGGAAATGATGTAAAGGAGAAAAAAAACCATGACATTCAACATATATGCACATACACACTTGTACACTGACACGCATAAAAAAGAAAAAAAAACAAAAACAACCCACACCAATGACTAGCATATAAATTAATTTTTAGCTTAGTATAAAGATAATGAAAATGAGAAAATGTCTAGTCAATTGCAGAAATCTCCTGACAAGTATACCAAACAATTACAAAAAGCTTTATCTATGAAACTCTGGAGCTGAGGTACTGAGATTATATAGGGTGGTTGTTAGCAATAGGTAATTTTCTGATAGTTAAAATTTTGCTGCTCCTACCTACTAATCCTGTTCCAATCAACAAAAAAAAATGGAGTGTGCAACATTTCAGCTCAATCTGAAAACTACTGAGCAACCTATAAATGCCTTGAAGTTAGAACATAATACATGCAACATTTAATTCAGTTCAAATGTGTTATACTGTTTTCAATCTCAACCATTTTCTTTTTACTTCTTAGAGAAATTTATGTGGACACATCCATGCAACACCAGCAAATGTTTAAAAACGTTCTGAATCAAATTTAATAATAGTTAATTTGAAAAATTCCTGAACTAACATGAAAAATTTAAGAAATATTAGTTTTTCTTAATAAAGCACACAACTTCTATAAGGGAAATGCATTTTTATTTGCAACAATAATTTCTATAGAATCAAAAACATAATATAAACACTGAACATTCAACATTATTTTTGCAGAACAAAGGATTTAGTTTCAGTTGGATATGTTTTATGGTTTTTGGTAATGATCTGTAAAACAAATTGTGTCACAGTTTCATCTTTTGTGAGAATGTTATTGTAATCCTGAATGAGTTTCACACCTCTTTCTGCAACATCATTCACAACAATTGTCTTAAGTTTTTCAAGTCCACTTTTGTAATTAGGATCATCCTTCCATGTTACAGGGTCTTTGTTGAGGAAATCGGAGCTCATAGAAAATCTCATGTAGTAAGTTTTTGTACCAGGAATTGCAAACGATGAAAACCCTATGTTTGTAAAGAAAGAAAAATCATTTTGGTGCAGAATGTACCTTTTCAGTTGATTTTTTTTTTCCTTCTTCCTCTTCTTCACCTTTGACTGCTTCCTGCATAACTTGAGCCAAATTTGCCTCTCTGTTGGAACATTGTCATCAAATGTGTATAGAGCCACAGTTTTGGGAGCTAAGTACCAGAGATGATTGGAATATTTTTTTGCAGCAGCTTTACTGATTTCTGGATCCAATATCCTGATGATTTATCAAGTGACACATGAATAGGAAATCATGATAACGTGCTTTAATTGCTTCTGATGACAGAAACCAGGCTCAAACATAGACTTAAGCAAGAAAAATACATATGTTTCTTAAAGAGTTCTTCTCTCCATGAGATAACTGAAATTGATTTTGAAACATTGCTTTTGTCATCCACCTAGCATGAATTACAGCTTCCATTGTACGAAATGATATCCCATTTTTCAGGATGACACCAAGGAAGATCGGTAAATATTGGTTTTGTTACTCGTGTGTAGTGATTTTCTGCAAGGAAAGTCTGTAAAAGAAGTAAATAGGCCAGATTTTCTTATTACACCGGCGTAGGTATCCCGCATTGAATCAAGATTCATGATGGCAGTAATGGGGGACGAATGACCAACAAGAAGTCCATTTTTTTTTTTTGTCGATAACTCAAAAACGGTAAGGTTTCTTCATGATTTAATTGTTAATTCGACTTCAGCATGTACATTTGAATGGAATTATGACGATTTTGGAAAAATTTTAAGGGATATTAGCGCACAGGTGACAAAACCAATATTTACCGGAAGATCATCATTAACTCCAACAATTCTTGCTAATCATCTTGCTGTTGTTTTTGTGTAGAAAGGTGGTATTCAAGAAATTCAAGGATGGTAGAGCAAAAATCATCTTGTACTTCATTGCTACCAGTTATGTAAACCTTTTTGTTGAGTTTCATCCATGTTTCTCTAAATCTCTTGAAAAACACCATGTCTGGACCAGAAGTGGTACCCATCAGTCTAAACAGCTCCTTAAAACTAACTCAAAAATGTGATGATAGCAAGGGAAGTACAACAGGTCATGATTGAACAATTTTTCTAGATTTGTACAGGATCCATTTACTGAACCTGTGTTACTTGCTGTCACATCACAGCAAAGTGCCTGAATTTCGTTGGTTATACTCCACTTCCCTAATATTTGGTAAACAGCCATGGCATGCTGTTCTCCTGAAGATGTTGGGATTTGAGGGACTTCCAATAATTGCTCCTTGTCTTGAAAAGTTACTATTATTGCCAGTTTATCAACCTTTTCAATGCCTGTGAGTGCTGAGAGCAGATTTCTATCCCAATGCAACACTAATTCGTGATAATCATTTGGGTTAAATTTGTGCTGTGTTTCTGTGCATCTGGTTTCTCTAAATTTTTTTCTAAGGTGTTGAAAAAATTTAATACCAGGTTTTCAGTATCATGCCTGAAAGCTTCTGCAGCAGCCATTAATATGTAAGCTCCATTTCTGTCAGTGATTTTGCACCTATCAAAAACTTCAGTGAGACGCTGAGTAAAAAAACTGCAATTTGTCTTGCTGGAACTGTTGTCACTGTTGCAGTTGTTGCTGATATTTGCTGAACGATGACAGGAATTTTCACTGTCGTCACCACCACCACTGCTTTGGCCGCTTGATGTTGAATCATCAGTTTCTGATGTAGCAAACTGATGAGTATCAAAATTTTGTTCCATTTCTTCATAAGTCCTTTTTCTCCTGGAAATTTCCATGTGTTTTTGTTTTTGATCTACACCAAGCCTGTTTGTCCTTTTTGGTACTGAAGCATTAAAACTTCTTATCCTCTTCCTGTAGCTCTAGTTAAATTTTTCTGTAGACCTTGCCATTCATTCCGACAACAAAAAGTATGGCTTACTGCTATGTCTAGTTGAATGTGAGAGGAAGGGGTGCAATCCGCGCGCGCGCGCAAAAGGGTGGAATCCACGATTCCACAACATCCTCTTCAATTTCCATGTGCCCCAATGCATCTGTCAAAAAGATCATCCATCTTTTCCACAAAAAGTTCTCTGTTTTTTCTTCTTTTTTTTTTCCCTGCCTGTGGTTCTAGTTAAATTTTTCTGTAGACCTTGCCATTCATCACAGAGCAGATTATCAACACAGTGATCAGTTCTTCTGATAGGAATTCATGGTTTTTACCAAAAAAGGAAACTTTATGTATCACTAATACTGCACTTTCCTTTGCAGGAAAAAATGCTCAAAACTTGCCAATTTGGGGATAGTTTGGCTCCCACGATTTGATTGGAAATGTAGCCAACAAGAGTGATATGAAAATCTTAATGTGTGATGATCTACCTGAAGAAGTTGATGACATTTTGCAGGTGTAGGAAGGACACTTCGCAGAAGCCACTTCACAAACATTTCTTAAAGAAAAAAGGAGGAATTAGTCATCAAAGTCATCATATTTAATCACAAAATAAGTATACAAACCACATAACATAAAAACAGAAGTTATACTCATGGTTTTACAACTTTGTCAGGGCTACCAATGCAACAGGAGAAGATCTATAGCATAATGCCACAGCAAAATGAATGAGTACTTAAATGTTATTACAAATAAAATAACTTATTTACAAATGCAGATGACAGTGAAAAATAAATGTTTGCTTTATACCTACCCAATACCTGAACTCTACCCCCCCATCTTTACAAATTGTCTTCCCTATTATATTTATTGTCACTTATCCTTCTAATATTTATATATATATATAAATTGCCCATGACTTACTATTATTATTTTGATGTTAAAATTGAATGTATTGTGTAGAAATGTTTTAATATATTTAGTGCCTATTGTTTTCCAGCTAAAACATTCAATTTATACATCAACTATAAAGATTAATATAACTAAAGATTTTAATTCGTTTTTTCTTTTTTCCCATATCTATTATTCCTGATTTGAAGTTTGAAAATGGTCCTCATTAAAAAAAACAAAAAAAAACAAAAAAACCCCACCTCTGATCACTTTCATCGGCATAATGTACATATTGGGGAATTTGTTGTGCTATTTTTTGATAAGAGCTTTATTTACTGTGTTTGTAACATATGAATGCCCCCACCCCCTGCCTTTTCAGTAAGAAATGTTGAAATAATTTCTTTTTTTAATTTATTTACAAGGAAGCATTTAATTTTGCATTGTTTATCATTTATGGTCTATACCCAGTAGTATATAGCTTAAGCACTTTTTCTCCTATCTTCATCTTGAGAGTTGGGTGATAAAGGAAGATACTTGTCTCAGAACAATCAGCTTTAATAATTCCTTTTTTAAAATTATATTGCCAAAGACAATAACAATCATAAAAACAACAACAACAATAATAATAATACCACCACCACCTGTAATAATAGCAAAAGCAACAACAAAAATAATAATAATAATATAACAGTACTTTAGAATTATTCTAGGTATAAGTACTAGAAGTTTATGGCATCTGGATAAACATTAGCTTACAGTATAACTCTTGTTCCCTTATAAGATCAAAGGAAATATATTTTTTATCTATTTTCTTTTTTACAAAAATACTAGTCTTATAAGCCACTGAGTACTGTATGTGTGTGTGTATGTTTTATATATATATATATATATATATATATATATATATATATATATATATATATAGTGTGTGTGTGCCTGTCTTTGTGT